TGGCCCCATACACACACCTTCCCACAGCTCTCCCCCACACACAGACACACATAGTACTGTATATGCTCCCACAGTGTGCCTATGTGGCAAAGTTCAAGTGAGACAGTATACTTGTGAGGCTTTGTGAAGCAGTTTACTTGTGAGGCTGTGTTTGTGTGGCAGTTTACTTGTGAGACTGTATTTGTGTAGGAAAGTCCTGGTAAAGCAATGTTCAAATCAGGTAATGTCTTGAATATAGTTGGAGTATTTTGGTGAGGGACTGTCCTGGTGAGGCAGTATACAAGATATGAAGTGTCCTTGTAAGGCAACTTTACATTGCATTTATGCTTTTATAAGATATTGTTGTGCCAGCAGGTGAGAGTTGATGGTCAGCAAATTTTGGAAAACCCAACAAACATCTACTTCCCGAAAGTCACTGGCATAACCATCTCACTGGAGGAAGGTGGACTACTGACATGGTGTAAACCGCCCCACACAGGTCTGTCGTGTTGTAGTAATAAAGTTTAAAAAAATTTAAATACAGTATCAATACTGTAAAGAAATACATGTCCTTATCACGAATTAGCATCACAGGAGCTAGGAAGAGTCGCGAATGCACATGAAGTGGTATTTGTGTGATGCAATGAGGTAAGGTTATTAGTACCAGATAAACAACACTGATTTGTAGGCAGTGCGAGGTGCAGGACACTTGTTTTATTATGTTATTACTATTTACACTGTTTACAATTATTATTACTGCCTCTAGTAATTGATCACAAATCTGGGGATAGAAACATGGGATGAGGCACATAAAATCCAAAGGCGAGTTCCCTACATCACAAAAGCTGAGAAGCTACTGAGAACAGAGACTGGGAGACTCACATAAGTGAAAGATAAATGCCTACTTCGCAACATAATCTATCCAAGCCCACATCGGGGTACTGCGAAAATACAAAACGTCATGCAACGTGAACCAAAATCTAAGGGTTAATGACTAAAACTAAGCGATAACCTTAGACATCTTATTAAATTAACGGACTCCTCTGTTAACTTGAAGTTTCTTTGACCTTCTTTCTGCTATTTCAGTCTATTTAATTTTAATCTTTATTATATTATTTTACTCTCAGCTCCCACCACACTTTAGCATCTAAACATATATACTGTACCAATATGATTAATTTTGGTATGACTTAACTATTGTACTGTACTCTATATCCAATTGATAGGTACCATGTGCCACTCTAAGTATCCTTTAGAAAGTTGACAGTAATATGCTTATGTTATGGCCTACAGATGCAATACACACAGCTGCATGGAAGATAGCGACTGGGTTACTAACAGTCTTCTTCACCACTTCCGGCATATTCTGGTATCTGTGGCATCAAAGGAACCAGCTCCGTACCTCTAACCCAGAACCAAAAGGCTTACACCTCAAATTTTTTTCTGAGTCCACCCCACCTCCTCTTCCTCCACCTCTTATTCCACCATCGATCAATAGGCCATCCCCTGCCCAACAATCAAGGGTCCCATCATCTCCCATATTCCCTCCTCCCCGAGCCATCACCATCCCATCACAAGTCATTGAACCACCACCTACTTATCCATCCACCAATTCATGAACCACTACGGTACCATTTATTGAACCACCACCAATTGTCGAATCTCCTTCCAAACACAAGTGAGTTATCTTCCATCATACAAACAGCCCATAACCAGATACATCATTCTTCCATGTAGCCAATATTAGACACCGTCCCAATGACCATACAAGTGCTTCCAAAGCCAATGTCTATTGTATCTATCATAACTCTTCACAATGTTTGTTGTAAATATTTGTTTTTGTAGATCACTTGTATTTGTTTACAGTATTTAGTGGTGGATATTGTTACGTGTGAATCTTGGGTACATTTAATATATTATACTGTATTTAGCAAATACAGTCTCTCCTCGACTTACGACAACCTGGACATACGACAGCCATGGTCGTATAAAATAATTTTCACATTACCGGTAAGTATTTTCGAGTCCCGACGTTAGTGATTGCGTTGTGTACTGACAAAATTTTCATTTGTAATTCCATTTAAAATAGCTGGCAAGCGTAAAAGTGAGAGTTCTCGTGGTGCTGAGAAGAAAAAGAGACACCCATTTTAGAATGTCTATGTATTATTTTCGCCTTTTTGACTGACGACCTGGTCGTTAGGACGGAACCCCGTTGTAAGTCGAGGAGAGACTGTACACATAAAACACATCATTGGTGTGCTCCATAAATTTGAGGCACTACTGAGACGTAATAACACTTAGCGTAGCCATGTAACTTAATATTTGTCACCACCATTATATGATTGATCTACAGTTCACCTGAGGTGCTCCGGACCTCCCCTCCATTCACCAGAAATATATAAGAAAGTCCAGAAAATCCAGTATCAGTTCAAATGGTTTGTGTTTGTACAGTATGTGCAGTTGAATGTCGGTGAGTGGGTGTTGCGCGGCACGTCTCAGTCCGAGTCCTGCTTTTGTATGTATCATATCGTGTGCTGTATCTCGCGACTTACCCTCATTTACGTTAACTTTTTATGTAGAGTATGTACTGTACTGTATTTTCTTTAACAGAGATACTTAAAGTTCTTAAGAAATGGGTAAAATAAAGTAGAATACCGTATTTTAAGAAATGGGTATTTAATTTTTTTTTTAATTCTTATGAAAAGAACAACACTTGATCACTGAATAATATACAGTGGTTTAAACACATTTGCTGTAGGCCTAACAAGAGCTACTGTTACTAAGTACAAGAGATAACACATTAAGTATGTGGTGTGTGATTCATCATGATTAATATAACATCTTAAATTGTAGAAAACAATACAATATAAATTTGTAATTTGACTTTAAAATAAAAAAATAAGCTGTAACAGAAGGTATTCACTTAGGATGGATTCCTGGAGTGAGAGCTTTCAGCTTACAACAGGGTTACTATAACATACTGCGCTGCATAATATTTGATATGGATATATACATTTTTAACATTATTTATTACCTTTGAGTGATACATGACTCGATTTGGCTGCTTGCACACTTTTGACAACCGAATAATGAATAAACCAGGGAATATGCAGATGCATAATACACTACAATATTATTTACTAACTGCTGTTAAATACACTGCAATATTATTTATTAAGTGCTGATAAATACACTACAGTACTATTTACTAAGTGTTGGAGAGGACTGGTGAGGGAGCTAGGACGATCAGCTGTTTGTGCTCTGTAAACAAACCACCAGGAATCTATATGACGTAATGACTCACTGGGTTGAGTGTTGGATTCTTTTTTGGGGGGAAAATTGATTATTTATGATAATTTTTTATTGACCCGGCACCAAATGAACCTAAATAATATGGGAATTACGGTGAAATTGCATAAGGCATATCAAAGGGATCCTGAGGGTGAAGTGTACGAGATGTTTGGAACGGTAGAGAAAGTAAATTTTTGCAACATGGCTCTGTGTGTGTGTGTATGTGGACAGCAAATGCTTTCACAACAGCCTAGTCTAAGAGATCCATGTGTTGGCCTCTCAAAGAATAAGAATTACGATCATAGGTCTAACAATGGTCCAGACTGTGAGAATGTATGCTGTGGGGGTGTACTGTACTATGACCTTAGGAGGCAGACTTTACATTAACCCATTAAACAACAGCAGCCCAGAATTATAGGGTTAGCCCATGGGAATGTTAGAGACCTGGAAAAAACTTTGGGACACACCTTCCCAGTTACAGTTAAAAAGCATCAATCAGCCTGCACAGTGAGATTCTAGCTTTGAACTTGAAAACAACAACTTGTATTGCAGACACCCTACAAGAGTCCTTGTTGTGGCAGAGACCTAGCCATATAAATGATTCTCCATGTGTGGTACATAAGTAAGTTTCCTATTATACAGCAATAACAAGTGTAAACCTTACATGCGTGTATAATTCTCCTATATACTGTAATTACATCTACCCAGAATATGTTGTAAATTTAAGTACCAAATAATCCCAGTTGAACTGTCCCAAGTGTTCAGCAATGGAGTATAGTTATCAAGTGTGAGAATCTAGCATGTCATAACCTTCATCGTTGTCCCAACACCATACTTCTCTCTAATTCCCCTCTTCCCTTGCTCCTCCACTACCTGCCTCCAAAACTCTCCCTTCCTTTAACACTAAGTACTAAGTTGTGAACTATCCTCATTGAGAACTCATTAAATATATAGTGACAGTAAAATAACTGCAGAAATGAAGCTGGAATAATATACAGTACGGTATATACATAATACAAATGAATAAGCTAAACACAGAAAGAACAGAATATTGAAATAAGGAATCAGAATATTCAGACACCATAAAAAACAATAATAAATAAATAAAAATATCCAGTACTATATAACAACTACAATAAGTAATAACAAAATACTGGTACATCACATTGTGGAGTGGTATAATGGGTGAGGAAAGGTTTGCTAAGATGGTCTGGACATAAGAGAAGGATGCAGGAGGAGAGGACAGAGCAGGATAATAAAGAGGATATATGGGGCAATGTACCAATGCAGTGTGAAGAGAGAGACTGCATGGTAAAGAAGGTAGAACAAAATAATATGGAGAAAACAGGGAAGGGAATAGAGAAGGAAAAGGAGGTATACAGTATATGGAGAGGGAAACCTGGAACTTTTCCTGACAGCCATCACCTTGGATGGGGATTCTCGAGAGAAAGACTAGCCCCATGTGGCGAGATGGTCGAGGCCTGTTATTGGAACTCCAGTATCGATAACAAACAAGGAAATAATTATCTACATATACAATTTGTTGTAGCAGCAATACTGAATAAGTTTTCAGTCTTAAATGATGAAAACAAGTCTCCTTTGACTGACACCAACTTATAAAAGAATACAGTAGAAAATTCATTAGAGTCTATATACATCAATACAGTACTATACATACGTTATTAAATCAGTGTATTGAAAGCAGTTAAATGTATAATAAAATTGCCATCATTATTTACTCATTTTAATATCACAAAGTGCATTGAAAATCGAAAAAAAGAAAAGAAAAAAATCTAAATAATAACATTGTAGAATACATTGGTTCAAAAGAATCAGCACATATTCAACTCCAATTAATACAGTATAAATACCGGTAATTTCATAACAAAGGAATATCCATTTATGACACTTTGTATCTACAATAAATGGCAAGAGAGATAGGGAGAAAGTTAGTTGTAAAAAATATCATAAAATCAAAGGTTGAAAACACTATGTTATGCATCCTAAGTTACCACATTTGGTTGAAATGCAACAATGTGCTGTGTTCATGTAAATCACATGTATGATGATTACTGACACAATCATCAGTCTTTCAAGCAAAAAGGAATACAGTACATAATCTTACAGTATGAGAATGTAAGAAACATTTCACAAACTCTGCCATTCATTCTTTAAAAAAAATATTCCAAAGCCAAATTTATATCTGGCTTCAGTGCACAGCTTGCACCTCTTCAAATCATTTACTCCATATAAACCCCAAAAAATTATCTTTCTCCTGAATTCCACATATAGTGTCTTATACATTCAAACTCCAGGCATTATAAAGATTTAAGGTTGCTGGAGGATGACTGCATTAGACTATGCATTTTCAGCTGTGTCAGCCAGCTCTGGCAGACTTATCAAGACTTCTGTTGAGCAGCAATGAACAGTCACCCCAAGCGAATCTGCAGCCAGGTTAAAGTGCTGCAATGATATTCTCAATTTTGTTTTCAAATTAAAGCAATCACCAAAACAAACAATGAATTTAATAGAATTTTAACTTTATTACCTATAAACCAGTGCAGTGTAGCTTTTGAGGTCCAAACGGTACTCTTAAATACAATGGTAAGTCGTGATGAAACTATAAGCACTAACCAGCCTGCACTGACACAGCTTCTAACTAGTTCTTAGTCACCCTTCTTTTGAGGTGTCATAATTTAAATCAGTCCCAAAAACAGTGTATCCAAGGTAAATCATCAATACACAAAGAATGGAATGTCATTGATGAAAATAAATATCAAATATGCATATTTCCACATCAACTTACAATAAGTGCACTCTTGAGAAAGAAAAATTCATCAGCAACAAATTGAATCTGAAGTTCAAAATAAGGCAAGGGCTTTAAAAGGTACTTTGTTGATAAAAGTAAATATCAAACAGATGTAACAGTACAAAGTACAATCAGGACTTTCAAATCTAGTTCACCTGCATAACTATAACAGAATTAAATAATGTAAAATGAGTAAAGGAAGTTCTTTAAATGCATTTGAACCTGTTTCAAAATGGAAGCAAAAGGTTTGGAAAAGTTGCAAAAGACATTAATGTGGAGCATTAAAAATTCACTTACAAATCACTTGTGCATTAAATTTTTGACAATTCAAAGCCCTTGAATGAAAAAAACATTGTCTACTGTACAACAGATACAGTACATTATGGAGTCTGTACAAATGAAGGTTTTTCTTTATAAAACTAATAACACACAAAAGAGCGTTCTATCACGCAACACCAAGCCAATTTTGTGATAAGATTTCTTATTAATAAGAAAAAGAAATCACAAATACTGTATTGTTCAAAGGGCCTCTACAAAATGTGGCAATTACAACCCTTTAGTAAAGCCATGATGAAAATTCCAAGTGTACTGCACTTTATTAGCCCAGTGTCTAATAACAACCAATAACCAGCAACTAAAAAAAGGTGTCATAACCATATTGTTATTTTCATTAAGACTTAGCATTTAAAAGCTCATTTTAATAAAAACTTTAAAGATATTTTCACGATCGAGTATGTTTCACTTCTAGCTTTGATTATCAGGAACAAATGACTGAGATGCAATCAACAGGTAACAACCTTATGAAGTAGTCTACCACACAATCCAACACATTGGTATATTTGTGCCCCTGTTATTGTTAATTTTACTAAGAATATGTTATTTTTTTGACAGTGTGTGTTTGTGTGTATGTTAAAATCAAGAGTGATGTGGAATCACTCGCGCCAAACCACATTTTAGGTGCACAAGGTGGTACAGTACTGCTCGACTGTGCAATGCTCCATAGATAGGATTCAATTGGTTAACTACATCTTAGGATCCTTGATAATAATTATGCCACTGTTTAGACTAATTCTAACCAACTCGTATCCTGGTGTCCATTAAACCTCTATCAACCTAAACATTTACCTCAAAATACCAAAATAAAAACAAATATTTTATAATTAAAAAAGTAAGTAGAGTAAAATATTAATGACATAGTTAATGCAAATATAAAAGTTTACTGTTTTCCTTAATACTTGACTGTAAAAAATTAAATAATTCTTCAAAAGACAATTTTGATCCCTTTGCCTTAACAGGTTATTGTCATAAAGCATTTTGTGACATAAGAGCACTCATATTGATTGGACAAAGCATGCATGATAAAGTAGTGTAATGTAGTGTATTTGAATGAATATTTGTTTGTTTATTGTTGATGTGGTGGTATATTACAGTACTTAGGTTTGATCTTCAGTGATGAAGTTGTTACCAAAATTTAACTTCCTGTGATACACTCAAGGCTGTTCATTTCTTACATTATACACCAAAGACAAACTCATTAGCTTATTAACTTATAAGCTACGAGCTAGTTGGCTCAGATGTAATGATTAAAACTTAAATCTTAATCAGAGAATACTGTATGCTCACCTAAAAATTCAACCCATTGTTTCCTTCCTTATCAGGCATATCAGGAAAATATCACATCACATTATGTCAATTTTCTTTGAGAAATTAATTCTTTGGTAATAAATTTTAGTGTAAGGAATAGCTTTGAATGAACTGGGATTCCTTGGTGTAACATTTCATCTTTTGAGGGTAACCGGTCTTTGCACTGGGCTGGTACAGTGTTCTTAATTCAGAAACAAGAAATCCTGTTACATATTAGTCATCATACTGGAATTTGCCATTCTACACAAATTCACTCATTGCAATGAAAATAATTCCATAAATTTGTATTATGACCTACTTAATAAAACCCTACATCTAAATAACAAAGTGGCCATAATTAATATGAAATATAAATATGATTCCTTAAACAACTGGATTAATTTTCAGAAAACTTAAAATATAATATACTGTATTACCATTTAACAAGTTTGATACTTGTCTGTAGCACAACGGGAATGAGCAGGTAACCTACTTCTCCCTTGAAAGATGAATTAAGTCAGACAAATGAGGATCTCAGTCTATTTTAACTGCCCCATAAATATTCCTGATGAAAATATATGCAGCATAAAAGCCAATAGTACCAGTAAGTAACCAGAAAGTCATGACCATGATAGTGGTATAGCCAAAATACAGCAAGAGTGGAACAAACTCTGTAATCTCTAACTTGGTGGTCAAGTAAAAGATGGAGTAGGCAGCAACATATACAGCTGACCCTCCAGATGTGATAAGGCTGCGCCACCACCAGTGATAGTCTTCACCACATAATTGAAAGTACACCATCACCACACTGATCTGACCACAAGAGATGACAAGGATCAAAAATACTAGGAACAAAAATCCAAATAAGTAATAAAATTGGTTCTCCCAAATTGCAGAAAAAATAAAGAACAATTCAATAAACATGGCTCCAAAAGGCAGTACTCCTGCTGTAAGCAAGCATAACATAGGATGCATGTACCAAACTTGCTCTGGCACTTGTCGTGGTATTTGGTTGGTGCGCACAGGATGCTCATAAGGCTGTTTTCTAAACCCAAAGTAGTAACCAATGAAAGTGAGTGGTACCAAAATGCAGACCCACAGAGACAACAGAGCCATCATAGTTGTGAATGGTACAGCTCCACTAGACCGCTTCCCCCATATGAAGAAATTCAAGAAGAAACCAGTGACAAAGACAAAGGCTGGGTAAAGTGTGGCCGTCCAAAAGGCTGCTGACTTCCACTGCTGACCACGTAGAGTGCGGTACAGTCTACCTGACATGTAGCCAGCAATAAGACCCATGAAGACATAAAGTAAGATGCCTGCAGTCATGAGAGCACCGCGTGAGGCTGGCGAGAGCATTCCAAACATTGCCAAAATAATGGTAATGAGTGCCATACAAAAGATCTGAACACCTGAGCCAACGAGGGCTGAGAAGAGCTTGGGATAGCGCGGCGGTCGAAAGACATCACCGTGCACCAGTTTCCACCCAGATTCCTCCAAAGTTTCTTCCAAACTCTCATCAGCATTGTATCTGAAAAAAAAAAAAAAATAAACAACAAACTTCAGTAACTGAAAATCTGACACCATCTATTCTTTACACAAAACACAGGAGTCCCTCTAGAGAATGAGAATATATTTTGTTCTGCAGTGTCATATTCTCTAGCAAACAGTTGTTTATTTAAGTTAACTTCTTATGGGGATGCATTCCACAAGCAAAGAAATTCTCACAAATCCATAAAACTACTTTTCTTATAAATATGTAGTCTTCTCAATTTTCCCTCCTACAATCCACACAAGCAGTCTGTCACTTCAAAATATAGCAGCAATAACCCCACTGCTCTCGCCTTGCTACAAATGTTTTTGTGAACTGCAATACAGTAGATCCTCTATTTATGTTGTTCCTGAATAGTTCTTTTCACCCAACTCCCACTGACATAGTAATATTTTTTTCTTAATACAGTATATAAACTGCATAATTTTAAAGATTTTTTTATTTTTATTTAAAGTTCACCAGCTGCTGTCACTACTTCAAGCAGCAGTGGCATAGAGATGCAGCACACCCATTATGTGCTCCCCACACTACCTGAGGTTCTTCCCAGCCTCCCATGTCCCTTGTTTCATTCATGGACCTAGTTGCGGCTTCTGTGATTTTTGCAAGATTTTATATGTTAAACTGTATAACCATGACTGGAAACAACAAGCAAGCAATCCTGCTATCCATTGGCATAGATTTGTAGTGACTGAAGAGGAGTGGATAACTTTCAAGATAGGGTAGAAATGTGCCTCCGAACATAATCATAACAAAATATATTTTTTTGTACAAAATTTGTTTGATTGTTTCTTACCTTATAATCAGAAGTCTTCCAGTGAAGTAGAACTACAAGTTCACATTAAGATGTGTCTTCGAGAACTGAAGCAACTTGCTGGGACTGTCCTATTATAAATGATCTGACAAGCTGTCCCATGACACTAACATTAACAATATTATTGTCAACCTTTGTGACCGGAAGCAGGATGACCCCGATGTCACTAGCTGTCACATTTCAGAGGAAGGGATTGATGATGACATGAAGTGAAGTGTTGACTCTGACTTCACTGTTAGGTCTTAATCAGGCTTGGCAAGACATTGTCATTGTTGCTGACACACAAGAAGGTTGACTCAAGCTGACCTCACAGCCATGATTAAATTTAAAACTAACATTGGAGATTGACCTCAGACTACCCTCTCAGTGAGAATGATTCCTAAACTTCAAAATAGAAAAATTAAAAAAATTGAATTACAGAATATTCGTTGCAGGTTGTCAATTTTTACTTCTGTATCACAGTACATGAATTGTAGGGGGCAGGGGTGATTACAGTATACAAGAAATCCCCAATCCATTGTAGAGGGGAGGGGGGGGATGCATTTCCCCCAGGTTCTACACATCTCTTGCGGCTACCTCTACTTTGAAGAGACCAAGAAAGACTATTGGTCTGTAAGTTGAATTAGATGTGTTATGAGGTGGGATAACCTGTACTGTGCCAAAGAATCCAGAACAAGGAGCAAGCTGTGGAGGTATGTCAAGGACAAGTCATGAAGTAACCCCCAAGAGGAGCCTACCCTGGGTCAAAAGGGCACAATCCTGTCCCTCTGTCTTAGCAGCCATTTTGAAGCCATGCACACTTGATATTAGGAGATATTTTTAAGTCAATAGTAAATACTTTTTACTATACAAAAATACTTGAGTACAATGTTGCATTAAAGAAAAAGTATTGAAGCTTTCTGGAGAAAAGAGGGGGGCCGGACCCCCAGGACTCCCCCCCCCCCTGGATCCGCCCTTGTTGATGTGATTAAACACTGCACAGCCTCAAAAAGCCAGATAGCCCCATAAACAATGAAGGCTCTAATGGGAGTACAGTATTCTGTCAAGCAATAATGCAGGTCACTTAATGATGATCTGTAGCTGTAAAATTATTTTTTCCACATTGTGCAAAACAAGAACACACACTAACCTGGCTATATCACGCCGCAGAGTACGAATCATGATCATGGTGAGGATCCCTGACAAGAAGAACACCACGACCAGGGAGTTGACGATGGAGAACCAATGTATCTGAACATCCGTCATCTGAAGGTAGATGTCCCAGCGAGACGCCCATCGTACGTTAGATTGTTGCCATTCCACTGAGTATGTGAACAAAATATTGGTAGTTCCACTTTCTTTTACCTCTTGTGGGTTATGCTTATCAGGGAAGGAGCAGCGGTCATCTGTTCCCTAAAACAGATAATAAACAATAGTTAATACAATTTGAGATGGATAATAGTACAGTAGACATGTTAAACTCATAATTATTATTTAATATACCAGTGTGTGTGTGCGTAGTTTTACAAATGAGAGAAAAAAAAAGTTATTTCCACCACATTTTGAATGTGGTGTAATAAGCAACCTCAAAATTAAGGTAAATTCCTTCTACTGTCAGGAGGTCTGGGGGGCATTAGAAAAAAGAACTTATTTTGATACCTGGTACCAATGGAAGCAACTACTGTATCTTGAAGTGGCATAGAGTAATTTAAAATTTTTTGTGGAGGTGAAAGTACGTTCGGTTGTTGCACTGAAACAGCGGATGACAACACACGCTGACACTGCAGAATATTTGGCGGAATGTTCACGGTATATAATTTATTCACATACAAAGCAGGTAGAGACATCATATGATCAGGTTTTTGCTGTGTTTTACCCGGCAATTTCCCTCAACCTGCATGCCCTGCCCACTACAGGTGACTTATGATTGTAGATAGAGGAAAGGAAAAAAAAATACATATAATTAAAATAAAAAGCTGTAGTAGCAATTTTATTAGTTAATATGATCCCAAAAACAACTCTGAAAATATGAACAAAATATATAAACGCATTTGGGTGCTAACCGTCTGCCCCACCTTTACCGAAAAAGATTTTAGTGATTCTAAAGGAAATTCTATGATAAAATAATGATACAAATTCCTTAGACTACAGTTGTACCCCGCTTTACGCGGTTTCACTTAACGCGATTTCTCATATACGCGGTGACTCGCCAGAACCGAACTTTCACTTAACGCGGTTCATCTACCCATATACGCGCAGAGTGTCCGGCTCGAGACGCTATTTTTAGATTCGCCCCACCCGCTGCTCCCGCCTGCCTCGCCTCTCCCTCCTCCCTCCCTCTGCCTGGGCAAGCCGCGCTGTAAGGTTGCGCAGTGTGTGTCTTCTACTAACGTAAGTGTTACACCTAACTATTAGTTTTCCTAACCTAACCTTTATTTTTCCTAACTTAACCTTTATTTTTCCTAACCTAACCTCTTCAATATTACTTGTTTGTTCATACCATCATAAAGTTAAGATAAAATTTTTACTACAACATAGTTGTGTGTCGTCAAAAAGTGGAGTTTGGGGGTCGGGCCAGTCTCTATTGGAATTAATCCCATATGTTCTGTTGTTCCATTTACGCGGATTTCACTTAACGCGGTACCCTGTGGGTTCAATTGACCGCGTAAATCGGGGTACAACTGTAGTTGTATTATGCTGTATTAAGACATGCTTATACTGAGTATTGCAAATATTTCGGTAATTTTTGAAAACAATATTACCACCAGTTGTTTGATTTTGTTCACTTTTTTCACAAATATTCTTATCATTATAAAATATATTTTAAAAGAGGCGACAACTTTTTACTTTAATTATATGTATTTTTTATACATTTTTTAGTTTTCTGTATCTACAATCATAAATCACCTGTCGTTAGCAGGGCATGAAGGATGAGATCAATTGCGGGGAAAAACACAGTGAAAACTGATCAGATTACACTAAAACAAGTGTCTACATTCTTGGTACGTGAAGAAATTATTTACCATAACTACTACTCCCCCTAAAAGTGCAGTCAGACCGCGTGTTGTCGTCTGTTCAGTTTGTTTACAACCGACCTACTAGGACCACGACACTTCAAAAAAGTTGCTTTCATTGGTACCAGCTATCAAAATTAGTCTAGTCTGTTTAATATGGCAGCCCTGCCCTCCAGCAAGGAAGTTAGGTAGGTTAGGTCAGATTCTGTTAGGTTCTAGTAAATGTTGCAACTTTTAAAATACTTACTATAGCTAATAATAAGAACACCTGTGGAAAAATTTAATGAAATCGAACAACAGCGTCTGGTGGTGGTGCTGTTCTCAGACATTACCAATATTTCCATTGTAATCTGAAAACTTGGAATGTAAAATAGTCTTTCAGCTAATTTATAATGAAAATATGCTCTACTGCACAGTTCTTTATTGAAATATGAAAGATAAATGCAACTGATTGTGTTAAAACTCAAGAAAAAAAACATTGTTTCTTTGTTTGACCTTTTTTCTTTTTTGCAATAACCATGGTTGTTTTTTTGCCACCCTGTCTGTAATGGATACATAACATACCTTTAATTCTGAGATATCAACACTGGACTCCTCCACCTCAAACCTGACCACACGGAAATCTAAATCATTATCAGTGTGGTAGGAGAGAATGAACTTGAGGTGGTTGTTGATATACACCTTGTTGTCATAGATGTAGCCAAGCTTGTAACCTCGTTCGTAAACTTGTTCTTGCGTTTCCACCATCATAAACTTAGTAGCACATGGTAGATTGTCAACCAACAAATGTACATAGTACTCATGCCTGATCCTATCTGCCACCTCCTTGGCTTCCTGTTGTGTCCAAACGATGGGTTTTGACATTTGATGACAAACCAGTCTGCATGGGGTGTCAACAGCCATTTTCACATCATATGGTGTATTTACAATTCTGTCCCCACGTAACACTTCACCAAGATTCTCTGATTTATATATGGTCCCATTCCGAGGACGACAGAACTGCAGTGAGTAATATTCATAAGGAAGTTGGGTTTGTGAACTAGTCATTTTGACAGCCTTCACCTCCACTGAATCTTTCCGTTTGAACTCTACAGGAGCTACTCCTGGGACATAAAACCCCCATGATATTTGCACTAGTAAGGTCAGTAATATTGTACTGTACCACATTATGTCAAAATGACACTATACTACCGCTAAAACATGAATATAATGTTCCGGGGATGAGTCTGGCCACACTCGCCCTCGGTCTGCCAACACAACAAACGGCCTCAGGATCGTCCTTCTCTGATAACTATCGTCCAGAGTATATTAAAAAAAATGATAAAGAACGAATAATGTACATATGAAAAAAATTAACATTTGTCCTATTTGATTCATTAAAAATTTGAATATATGTGATAATTTAGGTGTACATATGTTAAAGTGGATATGTGGACAGTTTGTCAGCGTGGCAGTCTGAGTCTACAGGTTATAAGTATTTTCTCGTCCCTTTGTAAAGGTTCAGCACAGTTCTTTACAATAAATATATACTGTATGGACGTATATATTGTTGTGGCACGTTACTTATATTAAATTCTACTAAAATGCGATAAAATAAGTATTTACTGAAAGTTTTGGTAGATAGAATTAAATCTACCTGTATATTCATGACTATATGGTAAATCTATTAAAATTACACCAACAGCATTCCACGGATTATGGAAAATAATTTGATATCATATACGTATTATATATCATGGATACCCATAGCGTGTTTGTTAACTCTAAAATCACATTTAAGAAAAATAAAACCTAAAAGTTCCGGAAAAGGGTTGGAGTTAGACACAACCACATAGAAATCAATAATAGTTTGTAAAAATCAAAACAAAGGACCCTTAGGGTTTCTTAAGAACTCGGTAATAAATTACTGTAGTACCGAAATTAAATAACTGTTAACAATTTCATTTCCAGAAAACCAGTATAACTATGTACTGTATACTAAATAAGAATAGTCTACAGAATTGACCGTTTTATTTATTTTTTTAATTAACCATTTCACTGTTGGTAATACGTTCTTTATTGCTTTGTTATGAACTTTATTTGTTCTTGCATAAGACAACCGGAGTAACCGGAGGAAACCTTGTTGCTTCCAGTCTAAATTTGGAATAATGGGTAAATTTTTACACTCTTTTCTTTTATCCTCTTCACCACTGATCGGCTCGTTAGCCGCTTGGGCGATCGGTCACGTCTCAGTTACTTTTCCTTTTCTTTTATCCTCTTCACCAAATGATCGACTCGTTAGCCGCTTGGGCGATCGGTCACGTCTCAGTTACGCACTGTTGGCAAGTACTGGGCATGCACCGGCTCCTGAATGTACCTGAACCTGCTCCAGTGTTGGTCAAGTTTGGTCTTGAAAGAGCTCACACTCGGTGCCGTCACAACACTTTCTGGTAGATTGTTCCAAGAGTTCACAACTCTCACTCGGAAAAAGTTTACCCTCACAGTTTTCTGGACTTGCGGCTTCTTCAATCTTGAGCTGTGACCCCTTGTGGGGCGAGCGTCCGCCAGCTCCAAGTAAGGACACTCGACTGAGTAGTGCCCCTTGAGATGCTTATACACCTCAATTGGGTCTCCCCTTGCCCGTCTGTAGTATAAGCTAGGCAAGTTCAGGCGCTCCAATCTCTCAGGGTAGCTGAGGTGCCGAAGTGCAGGCACCAGTCTGGTGGCCCTCCTTTGAACATTTTCAACCAACTGACAGTCCCTAGCATATCTCGGGGACCAGACGGGGTGACAGTACTCCAGATGAGGAAGCACTTCACTGTAATGATGGTTTATTTATCAGACCACAGCTTATGGCTCAGAAAAAGTCCAGACCTGACCTTACATTAGCGAGGTCAAATGTAAGGGGACCCCTCGCAGCCCAAGTCAAGGAGCTACAAATCACCCAGTCAGAAGGAGAAGCCACCTGCCGGCTCTTCCTCCAATATATACAACAACTTACAACTCAGAAAAAGTCCAGACCTGACCCTACATTAGAGAGGTCAAATGTAAGGGGACCCCTCGCCGCCACCCAGTCGCATTAGTGATCATCTACTGGCTCGTCTCCCAATATATAGGACGTCGTAGCCCTCCCTCCCTCACGAGACAGAGACACACACAGAGGCATCACAGGAGGAGGTCCACCACAGCCCAGTCCCGCTCACAGGAGGAGAATCACGCAAGCCCTTCCTCCGGTCGGAAGGGAGACTTCCCTCCCGACACCAGTTGTCACCAGCGAAGCAGTCTCCCATAGAGACAGCCCAGAATCCCCTGCCAGACCTTCCACAGGTCACGTGAGTTTTGTCAGAGCTATCCATAGGATGAGTTACTTACGTGGGAAGTGTATTCATTTCATGTTGTGTCCGAGAATCAGTGTCTAGTAACGTAATATAATGTCCTAGTAACGTAATATAATGTCCAAGTAACGTAAATATAATGTTCTAGTAACTTTGATAGAAGGTGTTGTATGTATATTATGTATGTTGTATGTATACCATGTATGTACTCTATATATACACATTATTTCTCTGGTCAGTAGCGTGTGGCAATGCCCCTGTTTCATGTCACCACACGTTTAGATAAATGTGCCTGGCGACATCTGTAAGCTGCTAGTATACCACTTACCACATGTCGCCTGAGAGGTCAGAGTGAGGTCAGTTGACCCCTATAGGAGTGTAAGGACTACCCGCGCTTGTAAGCGCACCTTGTATATTTCCGTTAATAAGAACCTACAGAACTCTACATGTGTTTATGTTCGCCCTTGTAGTTGGAACCAAGTACCCCGAACATCTCCATGGCGCAGTGAGTATCAAGTGATCGATTAAGTGGAAATAAGTGCGTTCGTGTGAAATCAAGACCGGTAGATCTCCTCCGTCAACTCCGTCATCCGTGCCATTGTCTCCCACAAAAATTTGTTTGAATGACCAACGAGTTTTGAGCAGTGTGCAGTGACCGCAATTTCCTGTGAAGTGTCTTTAAGTGCCCCTCGTGTGTGTGTGTGTAGTGTTAAAGTGTGTGTCCTTGTTTTAAAGGATTCCCTAAGGTGGAAGGCTGATATAGGGCATTTGTGAGGAGTCAGCGCGACCGTCCCCGGCTGCCTGGAGGGTAACTACCCCCACTGCTCACCCCCCACCGCCTCCCTCCGCACTCCACCGCGCCTACACACACCAACCCACGCACTAACACACTGACTGCGGTCATTACTTCATATATATATTATATATATATATATATATAAGTTACTTATCTGTGTATTCAATTAATTTTGTTGTCTCAGATCTGGTTGATACGACGGGCTGACCGGTCAACACTGATTTGAGATACAATATACAGATAAAGTAATTATGCCCCGGGCCTCACGCAGGGTTGTCCCTAGCGCCCGGATGAGTTAGACGGATGACAGCTCTACAGAGATGGATGACCAGTCAGTGCGCGACGCCCCACCCTCTCCCAACACATCTCCCAGCCACACCCCTCGACCCTCAGCCTCGTCCTCAGAGATAATTGCTCTGATGAAGCTTATGAGGGAGGAGCGGCGTCTGGACGAAGCAAAAATATGTGCTGAGGACCACCAACGGAGATTGGAAGATAACGAAAGGTTTGCAGCTTTGATATCTAGCCTCACTGCTAATCAAGCCCTTGGCCCTTCCACTACTCCGGTACCGACTGGCTCAGATACCTCGTCAACGCCCTCTACCAAAGTGGTTGTCCAACCCCCACCCACCTTGAAGCCAGATGAGACTTTCCAGACTTTTCGTGAGTGGCGGCGACGGTGGACTGATTATGCTACAATGGTGGATCTCCAGAGCTTGCCACAGCCCAAACAACTCATTCAGCTACGTATGTGCCTGTCTTTGGGAACACAACATGTGTTGGAACATATGTTGCAAGTGCCCCCGACGTCTTTGTTGTCTGTAGAGGAGGTACTGGATGTTCTAGAACGGCACATCAATGGTCAGCAGAATGAAGCTCTCCGCAGGAGGGAAGTGTTTAGCTGTAGACAGATGGAGGGCGAGACTTTTGATGATTTCTACGTACGACTCAAGAGAGCCTCGGAAGAGATAGACATATGTCCCGGTAATCACCAGCAGTGCGAGGACACCCAGTTGAAGCAGGTGATCCTGATGGGTGTTAAAGACGAGGAGCTTGTCCAACGCCTCACCTCCCTCGACTCTTCCTCCTCTCTTAAGGATGTATTGACAGTATGTCACTCCTATGAGGCTGCCAGGTGTGCTACCTCTGCCATCCGCGCTCCCCCTACAGCTGTACGGGCTATGTCCCAATACAAGAAAGACAAGACGTCTGCCCCAACGCCTACGCCCACCACGCCCACGCCCGGCTCCCTTTGCAACAGCTGTGGTAGGCAGCACGGAACACAGGTGTGTCCAGCTGCCGAGTCTACCTGTGACAGTTGTGACCGCAAGGGCCACTGGTCACTTACAGTACGGTGCCCAGCCAAACGCGTCCAGTGCAATGTGTGTGGTCGTCTGGGCCATTACGACAAGTGTTGTCCGACCAACAAACCTAAGGGACAGCGTCGGCGGAAGCAGCAGCGCCCTTTCACCAGTGAGGGCCGCCCACAGTCGTCAAATCAGAGGCACGACGACCCCGGACAAAGCCAGACCCATATTAGGAGGGTGTACTCCTAGCATCCCAGGACCAAAGTTCCCCAGCACGTCAGCATCATCGTGACCTACAGCAATGTGTCATCCTGTCTTGAGATGCTGCCCGACACCAGCGCTGAGGCTACGGTCATCGGTCCCCAGTATTTGCAATGCTTGGGGCTCTCTCCAAGCGATCTAGGACCGCCTCCCAAGGACCTCCGCATCACGGCAGATGGTTCACAGATGGCCCCAGCCCTAGGTTCACTCTAGGCACATGTCACCTTTGGCAACAGGTCGTGTCAAGCCTGGATTGACGTGCATAATGGTGTCCCGACTCCTTTGCTGTCCTACAGACATTGCCAAGAGTTGGCCATCATCTCCCAGGACTTCCCAACACCGATTCTCGAGGTAAAATACGCCAACAGGGTGCACGAAGGGAGCAGCAACTACCCTGCTGCCGCCCTACCCCTACCTCTGGCCAGTGACACCTCTCCTTCGGTAGTTGTCCCTGCTGCTTCACGTCCCCACGCCTTGGCTCGCCTCCACGACAGTCACCGTGGAGCCGAGGCCACCAAACGGCGTGCAAGACAGACTGTGTTCCGGCCTGGCATCGACCCCGACATCTCCAATGCTGTCCAGGTGTGTAAGCCCCGCCAC